TGTCCCTATAGACTCTTCTCTGCAGATCCTGGCTCAGTTTCATAACCTTGCTGCAGTCTATTTGCTCTGTTTGAGAGGGAAAAAAAGCTCTAGACTTTTGTATAAATGTATTACAAGACTAAATATCATGTTCCTTTACTAAGTTCTTCCAGATTTTGAGTTGCAGCTATTACAGGGAAACATCAGGAATGGCTTAAATCACATGTAAATAAAGTATCAAAGAAGCCAATCATCCAATGAATGTTTATTGAAGTTGAGAATTTTGGAAAATGTTTCAAATAGATGCTAAAGAGTGAGATGGGCAGACACAGATAGCTATAAATATTTATGCATTGTTCTAGCTCAATAAACGTTAACTTCGAGAGTTGACTTTTAGATCCTCAAACTTAACCACTAAAGAGCAGAGCTCTGGCTTGCCTTTTGCTCTCTCTGCTTACACCCACAGATATGAGTGTGTGTGTGTGTGTGTATATGACTTTGTGAAGAACAAACATAATATCAAATTTTAAAATATAAATATATCTTATATGATTAAAGTATTTGGGGATTTCCTAATCAATGAAAATAATATATACCCCTTTTAATATCAGGGCATTTTGAAAATATAAATGAAGCTGTATTTTGTATTATTTAGAAAGAATGTTTGTCTATAAACCCTAAGCATGCATTAATAAGGACCCAGCTTTACAAAAGAGATTTCTTGCAAAGTCTTGAAAGAGCCTCCCTCCCTGTAAGGCAGTCCACTCCACTGTCCACAGGTGGTTAGCCCCTGCTTTGGGGGTTCTCATAGAATCTCACTTGTACCTCTTTTTAAGACTATTAAGTGTGCTTACTTGCATAGTCTTTGAGGTTCTAATCTTCTCTTACAAGAGGAGGAAATGTCATCATCTCCTTTGTTTTTCCAGATATCCTCCAAAATTCCCAACACACTGAAATAATCCCTAAACAGTCACTTTGAAATGAATGTGTACATAAACACAATAAGAATATTGTGTTTATTATTGCCTTCTTATCCCTGAGGACTAACTCTGAGGGAATCCTCTAGTTTATAGGCAAGGGATATCATTAATCACCCAAACAGAGTGTGAGAATTAGGGCAGAAATGTTGCTTTTCTTACAAAAGCCCATGGTGGGAGTTTAATGAGCATTTATTGAGAAAATGAATGAATGAATGAATGAATGAATGAATGATGAACAAACAGATGGATGAATGAATGAACAAACACACTTTTAAAAGCATCAAACTTTTACCTAGGTTATCAAACGATTTATCTTTCCCCAATATAAACACCCCAAGACTGTAAGGCAGAGTTTGGTTTGAAAGCTAAGGCTGAACACTGTAGGAAAGGGTGTCTCAATAAGCTAGGATAAAGGTGAAAGATGGGTTTAGTGGTGGCTCAGCCACCCAGAGTGACTTGGAGAAAGCGTGACTAGTTAGGCTTGGTGAGTCACATCATTAACCCAGTGCATCCAGCTCAGAATCTAGCTCAAGACCACCCATGTTCTAACTAGAAGTAAGATATGAAAGTGAAAATCTGCTCAGCAAGACCGAACTGTGTGTGTGTTTCAGGTCCCTGCAGTGGAACTTCCTAAGAGCACTTCCTCCCAACGGCTTCAGAAAGTACCATGAGCTCCAAAAGCTGTAAGGAAAACTTTAACTCTGGTCTTATATTGAACCTGCAGTCTTGTGCACCCGTTTCTTGTTCCTTCTGTAGAAAATAGCATCGTACCACATATTAAGTCTAATAATCCCACCTGGAGAAATTATGTGGCCCTTAGCTGGTGACTTGCAGGTGAAATGTCTGAGTATTTCTAGGAGACATTCTAGAAAAACCTCAGATAACTATCCCTAAACAAACTGGAGCACGTGTTCTGTGTACCCTCCACCATGTACCTCAGAATGAAAATAGGGATTTCTGCCCCCTCCTGTCATGGATCAGCTCAAAGCACATCTCAGAGAAAGATGTGAGGAAATCAGGGCTAGCAAGATAGCTCAGTGGAAAAGCACTGTTTTAGTCATAGTCGTCAGGGTTTTCTAGAGTAACAAAACACATACACATATATTCTCATATACACACATATGTATGTGTGTGGTTTCTTATGTATGCACTCCCATTTATTTGTGTATGTGTGTTTTCCATATGTGTATTATGCATATGTATATATATATATATATATATATATATGGGATTTATAAGAATAAAACCACCCAGCACAGGCACCAAGCCTGATGACCTGAGCACAGCCCCCTGAAAGGAGAGAACTGACTTAATCTCAAAGGTTGTCCTCTGATCCTTACATATACTGTTTGGTGTGTGCAAACACAAATAGATAAATGCAAAAAAAAAAAAAAAGAAGAAGAAGAAGAAGAAGAAGAAACAAGGACTGCAGAGATGCCTCAGCAGTTAAGAGTAAATATTACTCTTTCAGAAGACCAGAGTTCAAATCCCAGCCCAAGTCAGCCACTCACAATTGTCTGTAACTCTAGCTCCAGGGAATCCGACACCTCTGGTCTCCAGGAGGACCCACTCATGTGCACATATGAACACACAAGCACAAACATGTACATATAATTGAAAATAAAATAAATCTTTAAAAAATAACTTTTAAAAAGGGATGATTTTTACAAGACCCACTATCACTATTAAATAGTGAGCTAGAGATTTAGTCCTGAGGTAGATCACTTGTTCAGTATGTACCAGACATTGATTTCAATCCCCTGCACTACATGGGAGGTTGAGCGGAGTTTAAATTGTGAAGAATTTGTCTTGGTCAATGTTCTATTGCTGTGAAAAGATACCATGACCACCACAACTCCCATGAAGGGAAACATTTAATTGAGGCTGGCTTACAGTTCAGAGGGTTAGTCCATCGCCATTGTAGCAGGAAGCATGGTGACATGCAGGCAGTCACAGTGCTGGAAAAGTAGCTGAGAGTTCTATACCTGGACCACAGGCAGTCAAAAGAGAGAGACACTCCCGCGTCATACACTTCCTCCAACACCTAATTCAAAAAGGTCACACCTCCTAATCCCTGTCAAGTAGTGCCACGTCCTAATGACCAAAATTTCAAATATATGAGCCTATGAGAATCATTCCTATTCAAACCACCACCAAATTTTTCCATATGTTAGCAAGTTCAGTTCAGTAAATTCATTCTCTTTCTTTGGCTTGAGCAGCTCTGGGCATGCTTCCCTCTCTTCAGGTGAGCATCATGAATGTATTCATGAAATCCACAATAACCCAAGGTGGTCTCCATGTGATTTAGGTCAACTTAATGACTAAATTGTAAATAATTAATGAATTATTGGGCTTAGATGCTCTGTCCCTGAAGCATACTCTCAAGACAACATCTCGGAACGTCTCACTTTAGTCTCATGGATGCCTTGATTTTATTAGGGTTTATTAATAGAGATATGTACTTTCTTAAGATAATAGATGGAGTTAGTATAAACTCATTACAGTCACCAACATATCGCCAGGAACCAAGAGTGCACTGCCTGGGGCAGGCTGGACCTGAAGAAGGCCAAGACTGGTGCTGAGGCAGATGGGATGGCATTATTTTACTCTGTCCATCCTCTGGGATTGAGATCTCATTTCCAAAGTCATATCAGAAAATGTGGACTTGATCGACACATACATAATCTAATTCATATTCTTCCAGTCTTGATTTTTTTCTTTACATATCACTTTTTGGTTACTGACACCCTTTATAAGTTATCACAAGAGCTTTTGTGAACAAGGTTTAGGGTGTCAGATTAATAAAACTAAATTTGATTTACTAATACTTGATGTTGCTATACAATATGGTTTGTGGCATAGCATGTCACAAACATTTGGGGGGGCAGTTCTATACGAGCACTTACAACTCTGGGTAAATGTAACAGAAAAATTTTAAAGCCTGGCTTTCAGGCTTTTCTCTGCATTAGTTCTTGTCTAGAAAATTCTAGATGGTAACCTTAGCCCCTATCTGTGTACCTTTATAGCTTCAAATTTTTATAATAATTTTACTGCTTGAGAATTTCATACAATGTGTTTTTATCATATTCATCCCACACTCCTCCCAGATTCACCCCCACCTCCCCACCCTCCCAACTGTGTGTCCTCTTTCTGTGTGTTTCTTCAGTGACCCACTAAGTTCAACTTATGTTACCCATATACTGGCAGAGGGGTGCCATCCACTGGAACATAGTTAACTTACCAGGGCCCAGACTCTTAAAGAAAACTGGCTGCCCTCCTCCTAGAAGCCATCAACTGTCCATAGCTCCTCAGTTAGGTGTGGGGGCTCACGATGCTCTCCCCTTCCATGCTAGAGTGTTAACTGCTTGATCATGTTCAAGGTACCAGCTGCTGTGTGCTCACCAGTGTAGTGGTCCTGTTACGTCCAGAAGCCCCTGTTTCACTCCCATCCTCCAGACCTCTGGCTCTTACACACTTCACACCTCCTTCACAATGAATGGTCCCTGAGCCTAGGGCAGCAGTGTGATGCAGATGTCCCAGTTAGTTGAGCATTCACTGCACACCTACTCTGCACATTGACTAATGGTGAGTGTCCACTGCACAAAGAAATGTCCCTGGTGAGGTCGGAGAGCTGCAGGTACCTGTGGATGGAGATGAGCACTTAGAGGCAGCTTGATGTTATTTCCACATATGGCTTCGACTTGTAATTAAAAACTGACCCAAGCTTGCGCAAACTTAACAGCAAAATACCAGTTTCAGCCAGTTGGTCTTCTGCATCTCCCTTTCCTCTCGAGTCACCTTCTGATTTCAGCTGTACCATCTCAGCTGACAGAGGCCATCAGCACGTGCATGTGCCGCCACCACTGCTGGCGTCTGTCTGCCAGGCTCTTTCCATCTTCCGAAGCTGACACTGTTTTGTTGTTTTCTCTTTGACTACTCTTGGTCACAGGTGCCTGCAAAACAATAAGATTCGCTTCGTGTCGGTGTCTGCTTTCAGAGGACTGCGCAGCCTCACTAAGCTGTAAGTACGGGGAGTGGGGGGGAAGCTAAATGGCTCCCTAGACCAACAGCAACCTGTCAGGCTAACCCATTCCAGTCCAAACCAGTTCTAGTGCTCAGGACAGCGCTTGGGGGCCTGCATAGTGCTGAAGGGACAGTGTCATTGGGGGCTGGGAACATGGGATTGGGGGCACACTGTGTTTAGGCTGAACCCTGATTTAACTTGCCAAGGGAGTGCCATTGGGTACCAGCTGCCTCTCTGCTTGATACTTGCTCTAATAGGGCCCACCACACAACTGTGTGGGAACAAACGAAAAAGCCATAGGCAACACTAGATATACAGAGCCAGGCTCAGAAGACAAACTCATTGTACACTGGCAATGACAGCAGGAGTGGCAATTGAAAGACCTTATCAAAATAAGAAACCTAATGGTGTAGAAGAGACAAGGGGGTTCCCCAGTTTTCCTTGCTTTGCTTTTCCTTTCATGCTGAGGGCACAAGTGTCTTGTGTGTGCTAAGCACACACTGTGAGTCACCCCCAACTTCTCACTCACATTTTTGTAAGTTTTTGAGATACTATCTCACTGTGTAAGCTACCAGGATGGTCTTAAACTCACAGAGATCCTCCTGCCTCTGCCTCTGGAGTGTTGGGCTTAAAGTCATGAGCACCACCACTAACTTCTTTTATAATGTTTAGTCTTACCTTATAAACATTTAACATATAATAGATTTAGTGGGCAGGCAGTGGCGGTGCATGCCTTCAATCCCAGCACTTAGCAGGCAGAGGCAGGCAGATCTGTGAGTTCTACACAGCAAGTTCCCGGACAGCTAGAGATACTCAGAGAAACACTGTCTCAAGAGAAAAAAAAAGAAAAGAAAAGAAAAGAACAGAAAGAAAAGAAAAGAAAAAGCCCTGGTGGTTATGTGCCCGTAATCCAGAAACAGGAAGATCTAGGCAAATAAAAGTTTAACATATAACAAATTTAAAAGAGCAAAGCTTCTGACTGTGGAATCTGGTGTATTTCCTATCTCACTTTGCCTGATGTCTCTGGCATTCCTCCCTGTAGCATGTATCAGAATTTCTTCTTTTTCAAAGATGTATAGTGTTCTATTGTGTGTATGTGTACCACATTCTTTTTATCCATCCATCTGTCCATGGGCACTTGGGAATTTCCGTCTTTTTCTGTTGTGATAAGACTACTATTACTCAGTCCACACAGTTGTCCGAGTCCCTGCTTTCGGTTCTATTCGGTGCATTAAGCCAGGAAGTATAATGGCTGTTCACATGCTAGTTCAATTCACTTTTTTTTTTCTTTTGGAAGCTACTTCTCCAACAGCTGAATCTTTTTTTAATTATTTGGGAATTTTATGCAGTATATTTTTATCATATTCTTGTGCCCCAACTTCTCCTGGATCCTTCCCCTCCCCTACTCACCCAACTTAATGGTTTTTTTTCTCTCTCTCTCGCTTAAGAAAAATGAAAGAAGTCTTAGCTGGGGTCATCCTTGTAGATTTGTGGGAGTTTCCCTTGTGTCAGGTTTCTACCTGACTCCAAAATGCACCTATTTTTCAGTCATCTCTTTCAGAAGTCTCTCCCTCCAGCCACGCCCCCTAATCTGATCCTTTATGTTCCCATTCTATCCCAGTTTACCCAGGAGATCTCTCCTATTTCACCTTCACAAGGAGAGCCATGTTTCCCCTTTTGGACCCTTTTTGTTACTAGTCTCTCTAGGCCTGTAGCATGGTTATCCTTTACTTTACAGCTAATATCCACTTAGGAGTGAGTACATGTTATGTTTGTCTTTCTGGGTCTGGGTTACTTTACTCAGGATGATCTTTGCTTCCAAATTTCCTGATGTCGTTGTTTTTAACAGCTCAGCAATACTCCATTGTGTAAATGTACCACATTTCTTTTATCCACTCTTTGGTTGAAGGGCATCTATGTTGTTTCCAGGTTCTGGTTATTACAAATAAAGCTGCTATGAACATAGTTGAACAAGTGTCCTTGAGGTATGATTGAGCATCTTTTGGGTAAATGTCCAAGAGTGGTATAGCTGGGTCTTGAGGTAAATCCATTCCAAATTTTCTGAGAAACTATCATATTGATTTTCAAAGTGACTGTACAAGTTTGCACGTCCACCAGCAATGGTGGCATGTTCCCAGAATAAGCTATCATTGTGTTTCTGAGCTTAGCCATTCTGATTTGCATTTCCCTGATGACTAAAGATGTTGAACATTTCTTTAAATGTCTCTCTGCCATTTGAGATTCTTCTGTTGAGGATTCTCTGTTTAGGTCTATACCCCATTTTTAATTGGATTATTTTGGTATTTTGATCTCTAGTTTCTTTAGTTCTTTATATATTTTGGAGATCAGCCCTCTGTGGGATGTGGGGTTGGTGAAGATCTTTTCCCATTTTGTAGGCTGCTATTTTGTCCTATTGACAGCGTCCTTTGCTTTAGAGAAGCTTTTAAAGTTTCATGAGGTCCCATTTATTAATTATTGAGCGTAGTATCTGTGCCACCAGTGTTTTATTCATGAAGCTGTCTCTTGTGCCAATGAATTCAAGGATACTTCCCACTTTCTCTTCCATTAGGTTCAGTGTTATTGGATTTATGTTGAGGTCTTTGATCCACTTATACTTGAGTTTTGTGCATAGCAATAGATATGGATTTATTTGCTTTCTTCTACATGCCAGCATCCAGTTATACAAACCCCATTTGTTGATGATGCTGTCTTTTTTCCATTGTATAATTTTGGCTCCCATGAAGGTTGTACAGGTTGGCCCTGTACAAGCTAAGACTCCTAACAAGAGTGGATTAATAATAGATGGACTGAACTGGCCAGCTCCTGTGAACACATTGTTAACTATCCCAACTGTCATCAGAGAGATTTCATCCAGTAACCAATCAAAACAGATGCAGAGACCCACAGTTAAGTTGGAGAATACTGCCAAAGAGAGGGAGGAAGGATTGTAGACGCCAGGGGGTCAAGAATACCACAAGAAAACAACTAACCTGGCTCATGCAAACTCACAGAGTCTGAGCCAACAACCAGAGAGCTTGCAAAGAATCGACATATATGTGACAGATGAACGGCTTGGTCAACTTGTGTGACTCCTAATAATGGGAGCAGGAGCTGTCTATAATAGTTTTTGATTGACTTTTGGGAACCTTTTCCTCATACTGGGTTGCCTTGCCCAACCTTAATACAAGGGAAGGTGCTTAGTCCTACCTCAACTTGATATGCCATGATTTGCTGATGCCCATGGGAGACCTGCTCCTTTCTGAACAGAAGCAGAGGAGGAGTGGGTTGAGGAGGGGCTGGAGGGAAGGTAAGGAAGTTTCTACAGTTTCTGCATGAATTTTCAAAAGTCCTTTAGTGTTAGTTACACCTCCCCACACTCCCTCATGTACTCTGACATCCATCCCCCCACTTTAACCCCCGCCCCTCCCATTCTCACCCCTTCACTCCTGTTCTAATTTTTCCTTTATTGCTTTATATCACTATCTTCTATACCCCTTGCTTGTCAGCTGAACCATTTTAATCTCCCACCAACAGCACATAAGAGTTTTAGTTTCCACCATCCTCACCCACACTCATTCTTTCCTGCTTTGAAGGCTTGTTCCAATACCAACTATCCTAATTAACGTGGAGCTGTGTGTCATAGTGCTTAGGAGAGAACAAAAAGGATAACCAGTTTTTCCTCTTACATTTTATGTGTATGGATATTTTTTCTTGTATGTCTGTACACCCTGTGTATTCCGTGCCTGAAAATGACAGAAAATCCAGGAATCCAGGCCTGCAAAGCAGAGAAGGAAATGGCTCAACCTAGGGGACAAACAAGGGAAAGTCAAACATAGCAAAAAAAGGTCAGATGCCTGGCAGGATTTTTGCAGGTTGTTAGCTATAAATTATAAGAAAATTAAATGTCTGGGACTGGAGTTAGGCCAAGATTGTGAACTAACTATCATGTTAATGTGGAGAATCAAACCTAGGTCCTCTGGAAGAGCAGCAGATGCTCATAACTACTGAGCCATCCCTCCAGCTCAGGGAAAAATTTTTAAATAGATTTTCAAAGTGCCATCACATTCATCCATGTCCTTACAGAGCAGTCTCTTCCAAGTAAACATATCTAAAACTTGGGTGAATAAATCATTTCCCTGTATTTTCATTCCTTCCATTTAGGTTCAGTTTTCTTCTTTTCAATTTTATTACAGTCTTCTCTGGTCGGGGTGGAACACTACATGGGCAGGACATGGCCAGTGTGGAGGTCAAAGGACCACCTCAGTTTTCTCCTCCTAATATGTGGGTCCTGAGGATTGAACTCAGGTCACCGGATTTTATAGCAAGCACTACTGACATGCTGAGCCATTTCATCAACCCTGCTTATTTGTTTTTCATCCTACCTCATTCTGTATCTTTATCCAACAAATCTGTTTCTATCATATTTGTAGTCTATGGTACCAAAGTGTGAGATGGAGTCAAGAACACCTGGCAATTGGTAACAAAGTGGTCCTGGGCACCTTAGCCCCTCCCCCTTCCTTTTGTTCTGAGCTGGCTGCCCTTGTCTTCACTCATTCTCACCTGGCTCCACTTCCTCTCCATTGGTGTATTCGATGCATTTGGAACTTTCCAACAGCATCAACTTGGCTTCCTGTTTAAGATACGGGAGACCTTCTTGAAAGGCAAAATGGAGCAGGAAAAGAAGTCTTAAGGCTCCCTCTCTTCCCACTTCTTCCTTGGCACCCGACTATTGTGTTTTCTAAAATGTCACAAAGTACGTGCTTTTGTTCATGCATAAAAGGATTTGTTCCATGCTTTATTGGACAAGTGTTCAGGTAAATGTCTCTGGAACACATACTGACTTTAAGGAGATGCTTGCTACCCAAGAAATTCAGGGATCCCTGAGCTGTTCTGAAGGGCATCGAGCCTCCCATTTTCTGGGGAGTAAGCAATACCATGGTATTAATACTTAAGTCAAAACCTGTGTTGCTTACACCAACTCTACTATCATAGATCTGTGCCAGTCAGACTTTCCTCACTGTGACAGAAACAACTTAATGGGAAGGAGATTCCGCATGACTTGTGGTTTCAGAAGTCCATCATTGAAGGCAGTATGGTTTAACCCACACCCCTGGGGAGTCTCCCCTGACCCATAGTTAATTCTCGCTGTGAGACCCTTCACAGACAGTGTACTCTACTGATCTCCCACATGCTTCTCAATCCATTCAGGCTGACAGTCAAGGTCAAAGTCACAGGTACTCTATGGGAAGTGATCATTTCTGGTCTACAGCAATGCAGGATGGCCCTGAGAAATAAAGAGGACTGGACAGTATAGCCGTGGGTGAGGTGCAAGCGTGGATCCATTGCCTTGTACTTGAAGGGATGGGCATTGACTCATGACAGAGCCCAGAGGTGCTCATGGATGTGCTAAAGCTATGTCTTAGTCCTTTGCTGGCCTGGAATCCAGGCCTGCAAAGCAGAGAAGGAAATGGCTCAACCTAGGGGACAAACAAGGGAAAGTCAAACATCAAAAAAAAAGGTCAGATGCCTGGCAGGATTTTTGCAGGTTGTTAGCTATAAATTATAAGAAAATTAAAGAAAGGAGAGTTTCTTAAAGTGGGAGCTGGGGATAATAGAGTGCTTGCCTAACAGATACAAAGCCCTGGTTTTGGTCCCCACATCACTAAACCCAGGTATGGTGGTGCACTCTTACAGTCCCAGTGCTTGGAAGACAGAGGGAGGTGGATCAGGAGTTCAAAGCAAGCCTCAGAAGTTGGAAGCCAGCCTTGGCTAGATGAGGCCCTGCCTTTAAAAACTAAAAATCGGAGCCGGGCGGTGGTGGCGCATGTGTTTAATCCCAGCACTGGGGAGGCAGAGGCAGGCGGATCTCTGTGAGTTCAAGACCAGCCTGATCTACAAGAACTAGTTCCAGGACAGCCTCCTCTGCCAACAGAGAAACCCTGTGTCGAAAAATAAAAAAAAATAAAAATAAAAATCCTCCCAAAAGGAAAATAATGGAGAGGTGCCAATGTGCTCCATTTATCTGGGCAAGTGGAACTTGAATAATTGTTTGCAAATGAATCATAGGGAGAGATTTGGTAGAAACTGTGTTCTAACAGTGATACATGCAGAGCACCGATGGCATGACCTGTCTCAAATGTGACTACAACCCTATGAGGGAGGAATTAAAGGCACAACTTAGATGAAGGAGCTAGAGCTCACCAGAAGTGTTCCAGGACACACTGTTTATAGTCAATAGAAGAGTCAGAAACCAAACATTAATAACTCAATGCAAATATCCCGTCACTGAAGAGACTGAGATATAAACAGACATGACAAAAAGACATCAACACGGTGCAATAGCACTGGCTTGCTCTGCAGGGAGAGAGGGGAAGATGGGTAGGCAACAAGAGTCAAACTCATTAATGAACCATGCCATGGCCTTGTACCAGCATAGCCCCCCACCTCCAAATCCCAAGTTCATTCCCAGGGTCCTGTCATGGTGAATATCTTAGTTAGGGTTTTTATTGCTATAAAGAGACACTATGACCACAGCAACTCTTATAAAGAAAACATCTAATTGGGGTGGCTCACTTATAGTTTCAGAGGTTCAGTCCATTATCACGGAGGCAGGCAGTCGTGGTGCTGAAGTAATAGCTGGTGCTGAAGGGAAAGCTGTGTGTCCTACATCTCGCAGGCAACAGGAAGTCATCTGTCTCACTTGGTGGAATTCCAAGCAATGGAAACCTCAAAGCCCACACCCAGAGTGACACACTTCCTCCAACAAAGCCACACCTCCTAATTGTGCCACTCCCTATGGGATTACGGGGGCCAATCACATTCAAACTACCACAGTGAGGCACACTAAATTTTCTAACACTCTCTTAACTTCTTACTGTCTTATTGCTGTTGCTCTTGCAAATGCTATTTCCTCTGCCTAAAGTAACTCCTGCCCTAGAGTTACTTTGCTTTGTGAACTTCATGTCCAAGATGCTTCTGAATTGTGCCTTCTTTCTGTCTCCATTCCCTTGTGTTCCTCAGTGTCCCATCTTTACAGATCAGGCACATTCTGCAGTAGAAGAGTAACCACACGTTGTACACATCCCACTGGTTTTTGTATGTTGCCTACTTACCTGTTCACATCCCTGTCTGTCTCTCCAGATGCAATGTCCTTCAAAGAATGGGCTGATACACCTGTCACAACTATCCCATTCTGTTAGTTCTCTGTCACTATAACAAAACTCTTGAGATAATTGGCTTATAAAGAGAAAATATCTTTGGCTCACGATTTTGGAGGTTTGTCTGTGATTGATGAGCTAACTCCATTACTCCGAGCCTGTGATTGAGGCAGCACAAGATGGTGGGAACTTGTGGCGGAGCCCTCACTCGCCTCATCGCTGGGAAGTAAGGAAGAGAAAGACATCCTTCAAATGCACCACAGAAGAGCACACCCCCAATGACTGAAGAGTCAGTCCCACAGGGCCTTACTCCTTAAAGGTCCTAGGCCCCTCCCAACAGTGCTCCCTGGGAAAAAAGCCTTTGATGCATGGATAACTATCCAGATGACGCAGAGCAGGTGATTAAAAGATAGACCAATTTACTAGCTAATTATGATAAATCAAAAGCTAGAAATGACACAATAAGTGATGTGGGCCCTGAGAAGCTCAGAGGCTGGAAGTGATGTGTTGAGTGTAGAATAGGAAAAGAATTAGAAAGGGTGATGACCATCGTTACTTTCCTTCTTGCAAAACATCTAAAAGAATAAACTCACCACTGTTGTGTTTCCTTTACAGGTACCTCAGTCATAACAGAATAACCTTCCTGAAGCCAGGAGTTTTTGAAGATCTCCACAGACTGGAATGGCTGTATGTTCCATTTGTGTGGCATTTCCTTGTATTAGTTTTAATGTTGTGAAAATGCATGTGTCACTCTGCTCTCTTCCTACCAACAGGATAATTGAAGACAATCACCTCAGTCGAATTTCCCCACTCACGTTTTATGGACTAAATTCTCTTATTCTCTTGTAAGTACTCAAATAAAACAAACAGGGAGGGCAGAGGGCTCAGTAAGTGAGAGGGCTCCCTGATGAGCTGGTTCAATCCCCAAAGACTTGTGTGACTGAAAGATCGGCTCCTGCAGGCTATCAACTCCACATAAAAACTGGCATGCACACACAGAGAGAGCAGCAAATAAGTAAATCAATGTAATAAAAAATTTCAAAGTATTCTAATTGAAGAAAAATGCAGAAATAAAAAATTCAAACTTTAAGATAGTAGCATTAAATTTGTAATTTTTAAATCCTAAAGGAAGCTTTCTTGACTAAAAACCACCTTGCCTATAGTCTCTAAAGCTACTTATAGGTCTGATCATCTTGTAACAAAATTCTGCCAGCCCACCAAATCTTAGCACAGTCTCACTGCTGTACTGCGCTCAGGTACTCCTAAGACTGCCCTCCTGTGCAGCAACTTCAGCAAAGGACGAGCCTCAGACAAAAGTCACCTCCTCTGCACAGTCCACTGTTGATGGGCATGGGCTTTTGCCCAAAGACTAGCATTGCTGCCCCCTGAGTGAAAACCAGCTTATGTAGAAATGTTCTTACAGAAAAGCACTTCAATACTTCAGGGTGAGTAGAAAGTGGTGGGAAGACTTGAAGCAAGAGAATCTAGCACTTTCCGAAAAGTAACAATAACTGTATTTGCCTAGTGATAAAAAAGAACCAGAAAATGTGATTTTGGTGGTTTCTGTCCTTTTTAGAGTGCTGATGAATAATGTCCTCACCCGTTTGCCTGACAAACCCCTCTGTCAGCACATGCCCCGGCTGCATTGGCTGTAAGTCACACACTCTCTCTCTCTCTCCCTCTCTTTCTCTCTCTCCCCCTCTCTCATATATATGTAACATATATGTATCTCATATGTATCATATATATATATGTATATATATATGTACATATATATATACATATATATATTCTGAATTTGACTAACTTATATTTTGCAGCAGGGGGTCTTTATGCCAGGTGGCTAGTGTATCAAGTTTCTTTGCATTATTTTATTGTATTTTTATATTAAACATACTCATTGACTAACTTCTCTAAACTTGCACCAAAATGCAATATCTGAAAGAGAAAAAAATATTTTGGAGATGGGAAGAAGAAAGACAAAGGGACATCACATGGTCTGCGCCACACTTCCTTTTCCCGATGCCAGTTCACTCACTTATTAAGTTGATGCAGAAAGCTAAGTCACTTTAGTCTTATCCCCAAATTCTGAGTGATGAGAATGTGCTGCTTAGCACTAATCATGAGAACATGGGGGATTCAAGATATCTTGAGACAGTCCCTTACATGATCTGTGTAGTTTGTTGGCAAGGTGGCTTTGCTGATAGTAAATAACACTCCACTAGTTAGCATTCAATTAAACAGTAAATTTGCCTGTTTAGAATATAGGTTTGGTCAGGTGTGAGGTTCACACCTGTAATCTTAGGAGACTAAAGCAAGAGGCTGAGGAAGGAGAATTGACATAAGTTCAAGGTCAGTTCCGGGTACAGAGTGAGGCCTTGTTATTTTTTTAAAAAAATAGACTAAAGAGGTTTGTTTTTCTAAGAAATAATCAAAATTACTGTTTAAAAGTTCAAACAATAAACTGCCTACCAGAATCAGGAAAACTCCCTCTATTTCTTGTTTTGTAAGACATTTTCAAAAGTTGATTGTTTGGTAGCCAAGTTCACAGCAAACTAAAAGTGCCAAATTATAAGAACAGGAAGATAGTGAGAAACACTATTTTTGTGAGTGGTGACAGCTGTGATTGTAACACAAAGAGAAAGGGGTCAGATAGAAAACAAAACAGGTTTGGCCTGGGCTCATTTAGAATCCCTCCAGGGAAGGAAGCATTTCACAAGTGTTTCAAAGTTCAAAGGCACCTTGGTGTGACAGCCCAGTTCTTTCTGTAAGTGGACAAGCTGAAGCTAGAAAGAAAAGGACACAATGAATCAATGACCTTCTTTGTAAATGATGCTTGGTTCAAAATGGTACTCTAACAGCCATTGCAATCCTGACTTAGTGATTAAACACAACTGAGAAGTACTTAGACAAACAATCAACACTTAAAACCGTGTGCCTTGTGAGACTGAAGTAGCGTTCAGAGGCTAAGCGTTTACTTAGTGCATGGCATCCTGGATTAAATCCTAAACAACCCCTCAAAAAATGTTAATTCAGACTAAGTTTTTTTAAACAAGGTTTCATTATGTAGCCCAGACTGGCCTTGAAGTCACTCACGGGTATCCTCCTGCCCTAGTGTCCCTAGTACTGCGATTACAGAGATGGAAGAGCAGCTGCAGGCACTACTTCATGAGTATTCTTTGATTCTTCAGGGAGCACTGCCACCTGGTGGTAGCTTCGTAACTAACGCTTAACAACAAAATAAAAGAATTTTAAAAATAAGTAAAAATTTTAAAAATAAAAAGTAAAAATAAACACGTCTGACTTAAATAAGGACAGACACAAAGCATGCATCAAGGCAAAACTTTAAGCATTTAGCAGCCACTTTCACAGAACAAAGACTCTGCCTCCAGAGGGTCAATCTGCTGCTCGTTCTATAGCCTGACTTCAAATATATTCATTTTAGATTACTCTCCATCGTCAATACATCTTCTTCTTCAATGTACTCAACTTTTAGATCCCTTAGTTCCCGATATTCCTATCTTCCAGATATATTTCACTCTGTCAATGTCATCTTCAGTACAGTTCCCGAAGCAAGGCTGACTCCCCCTGGAGCTGGCAGGACACTAGCGTTTCTCTAGAGCTTCCCGAGTTTTCCTTGGAGGCTTTGGTAACTCCCCAACACTTCTATCCTGCATGAATCACCATTGTCTGAGTAACTTCATGCCATCTGGCAACCACTAAACTAAGTGTGTGATGCCCTTAAGCCTAAGGGCAGTGTCCGAGGCAGTGTATCGCTCCCTACTGCTCTGCAAAGAAGAGGGGCCGCGTGAGAGCAACTCCAGCGGGGACATAGCTCAGTGGTAGGGCACTAGCCTTGTATGTACAAAGCCCTGCACTTGGTCCTCAGCACTCAAGGACAAAGGTAACTTTTGATGCTTTGACCAGAGTTCTTGTGATGACAGCTCCACACAGCACAAGCACTCAAGAGGGTTGCCTATGCACATGCCCCTGCTTGAGAGTGGAGGACAAGGCAGCTGGTATAACAATCTGAAAAGGCAATTAAGATGGCTTCCAGCAGTGGCAAGCTGTTGGGAGTCTTTCCTAGGACTATTTAAATGAGGGAGACAGGAACTACATATTGTCTTCTGGAGACCATCACAGAAAACCACAACCATCAAAATGCAGAGAACAAATGATCATGGGGTGCCCAGCCCCAACAGATACATCTACACCTAGGGCACTAAAGGAACACATCACAAAATGGAGGAGGGAGGGGGCGAAAAGATTGTAAAAACAAAAGTACAGGTGTGAGAATGTGTCTCCCAGAATAGATAGGAAGCTATACCCATGATACCACAACAATATGGCCACATTAACAAGACTCGAACAAAGATAACACTAATAGACACACTAAAGCCGAAGAGGAAAATCTCACCAGGTCTACCCTTTGGTCTACCCTTTGGCAAAGAAATACAGACAACTAATGACTTCTGTAAGAGGGAGAATTAGTCTTTTCCAGTGATGGGCACCTAATTGGTTACCCAATACCAAGTGGTCAGCTCTGAAATTATATATATATAAACAACACTAAAAAGACTCAGCAGATTGTACTTATATATTTATATATATTTATGATATATATATATAATAAAAGAAAAAGAGGCCAGGAATTTGAGAGGAAGTAAGGAAATATGGGAGAGATTGGAGGAACAAAATGAAAGGAGAAAATGACATAATTATATCTTAATTAAAATTTTGAATTATTAAGAAAAATAAATGAATGGATATTGTCTGTGCAACCACATCCTCTACAGTCTAACTTGAACCTGAAGCTTATGGAAGCACCTTGCACCTCTGAACAAATGTTTAATATGCTTGACTACCAAATATCTGTTAATAAATTAGATATTTCCTGCAGGAATTGTTTTTCTTCAATTTCTTAGAATAATAATATCCATTTTATTGTGGACACATGATAAAGATGTGAGTCAAAGCATTTTTGCTCCTTGGCACGGGGAATTGAACCCAGGACCTCACATTACATTTACTATTGGTACAGAAGACGGACAATAATACTACATGTATATAGCAAATATATAGTATATATGTAAATTCAGCTGCTACACAAATGATTGTAAACAGAATGTGAAGACAAGATATTTTATTAGATAGCAGGTAATTTTTAGACAATTTATTTCTGTCTACGGATTTTATTTGATTGTGTTTTATTTTTATATTCTAGGGACTTTGAAGGCAACCACATCCATAATTTAAGAAATTTGACTTTTGTCTCCTGCAATAATTTAACAGTCTTGTAAGTACTATCTTTTTTTATCAGTGATGTTGAGTCTCCTTACAAACCAAATGAATATTTTATGTGTGCAGAACTCTGCCTGAGTATATGCAGAAGCAGGAAGGTGTGACCCTTATGAGGAAGGAAAGGGAAGAGAGATGTGATATAATTATAGTCTCACGAATAAAGGAAAAATTAAAGAAAAAAAACAAGTCAATACCTTTAATTCTAGGACTCCAAGGCAGTGGCAGGTATATGTCGAGTTTGAGGATAGTCTAGTCTACATAGTGATTTCCAGGCCAGCCTGAGTTTTATATGTATGTATGTATGTATGTATGTATGTATGTATGTATGCATGCATGTATGTGTTTTCAGGGATGACCCTTTGATATTGGAATTGACTTTTAAACTTCTATGTGAAAAAATAATTTGCATTTCCTCATGGTAGGTGTGCATGGTGTAGGTCCAGAGTTACAGAAGGTAACATGGTTTGTAGTTATGGAAGGAATTAAGTATGTAAAGCTAGCACAAAGTTACTCTAGTAGACACAGAAGGGAAATGACCAAAGTGAATAAAAATAAATATATGTTCTAGAAATGACAACAGCACCAACAACTTCTAAAAGCACAGAAGAGGGAATAAAAGAGAGGGGAAGGTAGGAGGTAAAAAAGGAAAAGAGAATAGTAATGCCTGAGAGTAAGTACGATTAGATGAATATACAAGAAAGAAGGAAAATATGTGATGATTTATAAAATGGAATAAAAGTGAAAATACTACTAACAATGCAGCAAAAAGAAAAGGCAGGAAGCACGGGTTTGATGATGAAAGTAAAACCATCTGTGCCTTCCAATGGACTCCACTAGAAGGCATGTTGTGTGTGTCTGTGTGTCTGTCTGTGTGTGTGTGTGTGTGTGTGTGTGTGTGTGTGTGTGTATGTGAGACTTGGGGGGTGATGGGGTGGTTTGAGCTTGTGTGCCATGCTTGTCGTTCCTGTGGCTTATGCAGGTGCTGAGTCTCTATTGGACTAATGTCTGGATGGCTATCAGAATTGTCTTCACTTTGGTCCTTTCCCTTCTGTGTCTACTAGAGTTCTTTGCTGGTCTTTGCTTTGGTCATTTCCCTTTTGTGTCTACTACCATTTGGGTAGAGGAAGGGAACAAGTAAGGATGAGGCAAATGAAATGGAGGAGAACAAAGGGGTCATGATACGAATAAAAATAAAGTATTATGGAATATATGTATGAAAATGCTATAATGAATCCCATTATCTTATATTCTAAGCTAAAAGGTTTTTAGATAAAAGAGTAGATAAAAACAGCAGGAGGTCCTTTGAAGTTTCCCAAAGTAGTCATTTATACTGACAGATAACACAGAGATCAGTAAAGAGGAAGACGGAGATAGGGTGTGGATCAGGCATACAGCAAGTATGAAGTCCTTCAGTATGGCAGGTTTTCCACAAATCATGTTTTAGGACATGTCCAGAGCGCTTAACACACACACACACACACACACACACACACACACACACACACACGGCCAAGAGCAAATGCTATAGAAATGCTACAGTTTGACTCATATTTCCAAACTGAGGAGACATTGAATTGGTCCCTTTAGACCATTCTCTCTCAAGCAGTTCCATCCTATTTCCATGCACTAGCAAATAAGAGCTCTGTGGTGCATGGAGCCTTTTGTTAGACAGACACACTTTGTGGACTACAGAGATATATCTAAAACAATTCCCTTGCTCATCATAGCTGCAAGATACTCAGTTTTTGTTCAGAAGAGGTAAGGCTTCCCTATTCCTTTCAAAGCTCTTCTTCATTTCTAATTACAAATTTAAATAATATTTTTGTGTTGTCCCTGTTAAAAGATTTGAGAAACTTAAGAATAAAATTGAATTGAAGCTGGGTGTGGTGGCACACACCTACAATTGCAACACTCAAGAGATTGATGCAGAAAGGTCATGAGTTTGAGGCCAGTCAGGGCTGCATAGTCAAGACTGTGTTTTTGAAATAAATAAACTGTATAATAACACACTATTCAAAATATCCTGGTATGAAAATGCACTCTATATTCATTATCTTTATTATTTCTTTGTAGGAGTTACATTTAGGAATCCATGTGATAATTATGTTGACATGTACTTTTCTTTTTGCTTTCAGGGTAATGAGGAAAAATAAAATTAATCACATAAATGAACATGCATTTACACACCTCCAGAAACTATATGAATTGTAAGTTTAACTAATATGTATTTAGAATGCTTAACTAAATATGTATTTAGAATGTTCCTTTCCAGTTTTACTTTGTATTACTTATACATATAATATTTATATATTTAAGAAATATTAATTTCCTCTCTCCAAAAATGTGTCACAAAACAATTCAGATAGATTACAAAAGTAAGTATGAAGTAAATGTTTGAGGCAAGTTAGATAAAGGAAGCAGCTTTAGACAAAGGATAAAACCAGAGCAAAACTAATAACTAAAACATAGCCCACAGTGTTATTTTTTTTGCCCCAAGGGGTCAGAATATCTGTCATTAAGTTTTCCAGAGGGTTCAGATTGAGGAACCACAAGATTCAAAGACATAATTCTTCTGAGACCAAAACTGAAGGGTTATCCTGGACCCACAAGGAAGTAAAGCACTGCTGTAGATAAGATCCCTATCCGCAGTAATGGAACAGAGAGACGCATTCAAAATATTTTAATGTCCCCTTTTAATACCAATAGCATAATTACAAAGCCATCAAAGACGTTATATGATGAACCCAAAGCCTTATGATGATTGGTGGTCAGAGTAAAATAATATGAACCATCAGGGAACTCCAGATCACTGTCTATTTTAGTATACATTATCTGGGAATAACCTGTAGTGGATGCAGTTACATGTTTTGACAATTACCTAGGCCAAGCACTGAATTACTGAGTCTTTTATACAAAAATTAAAGTATACAGGGGCCTATGGCAACTGTTAGGAATAAGGGTTGCTCTTCCAGAGGACTGGAGTTCAGTTTCCAGCATCCACATTGGACAGCGCACAACCACGGTAACTCCAGCCTCAAGGGATCTGAAGTCTGAAAGCACCTACACATATCTGTGTTCGTGCACATACACACGGGGGTGGGGGAGGAGAGAATGAGAATAAAATCTTTTTTAAAAAATAAGGAATTAATAAACCAGGCACACACCTTTAATCCCAACACTTGGGAGGCAGAGACAAGCAGATCTTTGAGTTCAAGGCCAGCCTGGTCTACAGAGCAAGTTCCAGGACAGCCAGGACTACACATAGAAACCCTACCTCAAGAAACCAAAAAGCAACAAAAAAAATTAAAGAACTGAGATAGAATGACAGGGACAGAGTGTTGGACAGCTTACTGCACATAGGCAGGAAAAGGGAATGTAGTGAACAGAAAGCTTATCAGGAAAACAGTCCTGTAGCATATGGACCACTGAAAACTCAAAACTACTTCTGTAATGAGTAGCTTGAAACATTTTTGGTATGCACTACCAATCATTCACAAAATGTACATCTATCTCTCAATAGATCATTAGACCTAGACCCTATGGTGAGAATAACATGACAATCAAATCTTATCATCAGTGCCTAGAAAATTACTCTCAATAACAGGGAGAAATGTGGCAAAATGATCAAAAACATTATCTAGCCATTAAAACAGAAGTTAGTGACCCATATTTTTCTAATTTTATTCAACTTGAAATCACCACGTAAATATCAGAGGACAGCTCCCCTGACTCATAATCATCACAGTTGTCTCTGTTGCAGACTTCATTCGGAACCAGTAGTGATCGAGGAATACACACAGCCTCAGTGCAGAGCCAGAGTCTGCCTAGACAATGGGGAGAGTGAACAAGGTTGATAATTAGCCTTGCCTAAAGCCTGCCTAATCCCATAGCAAACACTTGCCTGAAAACTCAGATCTACAAGGACAAAAATAGCCTGTTCTCTAGGAGGTAATGATCCTCAGTTGAGTCTATATCGGAACTCTAGTTTTGAAAGGAGGGCTGAGTGCCCTATGCTAGGCACACCTTGACAGCCTACCCTTGTCATGGAAACCATTATGTAGTTCCTGGTACAGAAAAATCTAAGAGCTCAAGAGGGCAGAAGGAAGAGACTACAAGAAAAAGCCCCCCATCCAGAGCATCACACTGGCACTCTAAAGCATGTGTAGGCTGTGGGGAAGTGTCTGAGGAGACAGCAGCAGGAAGCAAAGATAGAAATGCATGTCATTACTTCAAGATGTTTTATATCATGCTAAGCAGTTCTGGGTTTGTTGTCTAGGCCACTGTAAACCATGGAAGGGATTTCTGAAGGATGAAATGTTATAGACTCCCTTTGCCAAACCAGAACAATGCATCTTCCCAGGCAATTCACCCATGGCTATGCAAATTCAAATGCATGAAATTCAGTATATACATGTACAGTTTGAAAAGAAGGCACTCACAGAAAATATTGTGATAGCATTTGTCAGACTGGATCAGCTGTTTCTTTTTAGTGTCAAAAACTCAATGAAGCTAGGCATGGTGGGGCACACTACATAATCCCTGAACTGGGGAGGTAGAGGATCATGATCTCAAGGCCAACCTAGACTGCATCATAAAACTCTGTCTCAAAAATAGAGAGAGGAGGAGGAGGAGGAGGAGGAGGAGGAGGCGGAGGAGGAGGAGGAGAAGAAGAAGAAGAAGAAGAAGAAGAAGAAGAAGA